ATAGGATTTTGTGGGGTGCTCTTCTTCATTAGGAGACATCTCCAGGTTACATTTTTCACCTGGAGGAGGATTCAGAGACAGGAAGCAAGCTCCTTCCTCTGAGATACTGATCCCAAGCTGAAGGTGCCATCCTGATGAACTAGTTATCTCCCAAAGACCTTACCCAGTAATAACTATCCCACTGAGGATTAACAAATTTGGGGGAAACATACATGTAGCCCAGAATACCAATTTTGCTAATCTTTTCAAAGAATGAAATTTTTGTCAGTTTTTCTATTCTCTTTCATTTATCTCCATTCTTATTTACTCCTTTTGTTAACTTTAGATTCTCTTTGCTCTTCTTTCTATAGTTTCTCAAAGTGTAAGGCAATTTGATTTTTTTTAATATGCAGGCTTTATTTTCTTCAGGTTTAGAGTGTTTTGCGATTAATTATATAAAGATGAGGAACCAGTTTTACAACCTAAAAGTTTATTTACATATTAAAACTATATTAATACTTTAATGAATTATACAAAAAAGATGAGACAAACGTGCACTATGGAATTGCATGTCAGGCCAGATCCCTACAGAGGGAATTCCCAGCATGACCTCAATGATCTGTGAGGACACAGAGCAATCCTTATTTAGACGTACTCATTCATACTTGTCTAGCAAGGTCAGCCCTTGGCTTCTTAACAGTTTCCTTCTGCTATGGATGCATATGTTTAGTTGTCTGCTTCTTAGAGCAGACATCCACCACCCCTTGTGGGAGGGCTTGTGCCCTGAAGATGATTGATTCAACCCATTCTTCCGGGAGGGTTTCCTGGTGGCCCTCTTCCATCATCATATCTGGAATCAGATTAGTTTCCATAGCCTCTTCTTTTTTTTTTTTTTTTTCATATCTTGTTGAAGCAGAGTTTTAAGAAACAAAACCACAAACTCACCTATTCTCCCAAAGAAATCTGTTATCAAAAAGATAGTCTCCGTGGGGACTGACTCTGGCTGTCCAACACTTGTCCATTCGAGATGTAAACCATCTTGCCTCTGCTTCCCCCTTTCTTTTTTTAATGAAAGTATTTACAGCCGTAAGTTCTCCTCTGAGACTGAGTGTATACATGAACAATGGCACAGGTGCCAAGATGATAATCTTTTCAAAATGTAGTTCTGGAACAAACAGATGTATATTTACTTGAAAAATCGAATCTAGACTCCAACTTCTCCCAAACACACAGAAAATAAATAATGAAAACTTTAAGATTTCTAGAAGAAAATATATGAACAATTTTTTAGTTATAGGTGGACACAATAACTTTATTTTATTTTTATGTGGTGCTGAGGATCAAACCCAGTTCCTTATAGATGGTAGGCGAGCACTCTACCTCTGAGCCACAATCCTAGCCCTAGGAAAAATCTTTTTAAGTTTCAGATAGGACACTAAAAGCACTAACCACTGAGGAAGCAATTGATAAACTGGATTTCATTACAATTTAAAGCTTCTGTTCTCCTAAAGACACTGTAAAGTTCACAAAAAATGCAAGCCACAAACTGGAAGAAAATATTTGCAACAAATACATAAAAACAAAGGCCTTATTACCCAGAATATGTACAGAACTCTATTTAATAAGACAAATGATCCAGTTTTAAAATGGCCAATGGACTTGTGCAAACAATTCACAAAAAGAGATACACTAATTGCCAAGAATTAGTGACAAGATGACTAACATCGTTGATTATCAGGGAAATACAAAGTGTGTGCTTCTAACCCCCCAGAACAACAAGCACTAAAAAGAATAAGAATAAAGAGTCTTGACAAGGTAATGAGACAAGTGGAACCCATACATTGTTTATGGGAATGTAGGAGGGTATTGCCATTTTTGAAAATGAGTTGCTAATATCTCATAAAAACATACACCTAGCCTGTAATCCAGCTGTTTCACTCATGGATATTTATCCAAGTTAAGTGAAAATGTATCTATTAAAATAATTGTGCCATAGTAGTCTTTAACATAATATCATAGTAGTCTTTAACATATTTAAGTTTTATTCATAATATCCCCAAACTTGCATTGATCTAAATATCTAATAACAGATGCGTGGGGGAAAAAGCACAAATCATGGTATATTCATTTAATGAAATCCAAAAATAAAATTGAATGACAGGTGCCTGCAGCAACATCTGTGAATCACATTGATTTTATATTGAACAAAGGCAGGCAGATCTAAGAGACCAGAATGTAAATCTCATGGATACTGAGTTCTAGAACAGGCTAAGTGAATCTGTGGTGACTGATGCAGATGTAGCTATCTGAACAGCAGTTCCATCAGCTGAGTGTAGAGAAGGAGATTGCTACAGAAATGTCATACCTTGAATAAAGATGGCTACACAAAGTATGGAGGTATTAACATTAATCATAAAAGCTAGATATTTTATTGTGTATCACTATGTGTAGATTATATAAATAGGTATATAAAGCTGGCAACAATTTATGGAACACAAGGCAAAATGAAGATGAACAATGATGAAGTCAATAGATGCCATCATCCTTCTTTTTGTGGTACTGGGGATGGAAACCAGGGCCTTGTGTATACTAGGCAAGTTTTGTACCACTGAGCACTCCCAGCCCCAATAGACATTATCATGAGGGAAAATTTAAGAAAAGGTCCATTTGAAATTGAAATAATGAGTAATAGTCTTGATTGTTGATAAGCCAAATGATGTAGTGGAATGAGTTACATGATCAAATAGGTAAAATATGACCCTAACTTACTCTTTTAATATGATACTCTGAAGTATAAAACTCATAGTATGTATCTAAAATTGAGAACAAATAGGATGATTTGGTAATTGAGTGGTCCATCCAAAGTAGGCTCAATCACCACACTAGAAAACTTGGTTGAGTTCTCTGACATCTTACAACTCATAAATGAAAAAAGGCTTGATAATCCTAAAAATTTACATGGCATCATCAAACTAGATCATTAATTTGAAAGACTTTTCTAAACTTAATAGATTTGATCAATTTTTGCCAGAAAAAGGACAATTACCTGTTTTTAGTATAAAAAAATCATCTTACATTTCATTGTCGATTTAGATAACTATATGTAGTAAAAATGAAACTTTCATAGAATTGTTGGTAGTTTAAATGTCCTGCTCTTTTTTTTTTCCTGGATTTTTTATTTTTAAAAATTTTTTTGTACCAGGGTTTGAACCCGGGGTGCCTAATCCTTGGGCCACATCTCCAGCCCTTTTTATTGACAGTGTCTCCCCAAGTTGTTTCGGACCTTTGTGAGGCTTGTCTCCAACTTGGGATCCTCCTGCCCCAGCCTTCTGAGCCGCTGGGATTTATATTATTTATTCCTTCCAAATACAAAGTAATTTTCATTTCCACTTTTGTATTCAAAATTTTATTGCAGTGCTTTCGTTTAATGCAGGTTGTATAAGTTTGGGGTTCCACTATTCCTGAATACACTGTGGATCTGTGAATCTCAGGACATGATCTGGAGTGGTGAAAATAATTTGTAGAAAAAATGCAATCAGTATAATTCAATAGAAAGTATGAAAAACTTAATAGTAAATATACTATTATTGTTCACCAATAATCACAAAAGCGGGATGATTATAAAGAAAGGCCCTATGCAATTTTGTCTTTACGGTGTTTTTCTCCATTAAAAAAGGAAAACAAAGCCAAGCGCTGGGTACACGCTTATAATCCTAGCGACTGGAGAGGCTGAGGCAGGAGGATCTCAAATTTGAGACCAGTATCAACAATTTAGCGAGACCTTGTCTCAAAAATAAAAAGGGTCGGGGATGTGGTAAAGGGCCTCTTGGTTCAATCCCTGGTACCAAAAAAATACAGACATTTTATGACCGTGTTGGTGCGAAGACGCATTAAGGTCTGGTCTTCGACCCCTCCCTCCCGCCATAAGAAGAAACATCTTCGTCAGCACTAAAAGCCCCGGCGCCGGGCCGCCCGAACCGGGCGGGCAGCTCGCAGTCACGTCCTTCCCTGGACTGGTGCCCGCCCGGCCCACGTCATGACCTCTGCGCGGGCACGACAGGGCACGACGCGGGTGGCTTTGGCACCCTCCCCGGCAGCTCCAGCGTGTCAGAGGCGCCGGGCGGAAGCACCGTTCCAAGAAGACTCCGCGACCGCACGGGTACCGTCTGGACCCTCGCTGGGGAGCGCAGGCGGCCGCAACCTTAACGGTCCTGGCTCGCAGGCCGGGCGCCCCAACGGTCACCGCCCCTGTGGCAGGCCACGCCCCTTCTGGAACGTTCCGCGGCCGGGGTCCGGTTCTGCCCGGCCGGCCACGGCTCAGTCTCGGGTTGGGGCTGTCCCCGGCAGGACTGTCGCAGCGCCCTCGCCCTCGGCGCGAGTCGCACCACGGGGTTCCTGCCCGCGCTCCCCGGCGTGAGCAACGGGGCGCCCCCGCGGGGTCACAGCGAGCCACCTGCGCCTCGGGGGCACCCGCACCGCGTGCACTGCCAATGACGCTCGCCGTCTCCGGGGACTCGGGGTCTGCGTTCTGCACGGGTGACGCGTTTGGGTGAGAGCATGTTTTAGGTCTCCAGAGTAAGACCGAAGGTAAGGAAACGTTCCTTCGCCATCCTTATCACCACTCCCGAAACACCTGAGGCACTAAAAGCAACCACGAAACGGAAACGGCGGGAGGTGGGCGCCGAACCCGCCCTGGGCCCCGCTTGTGGGGAGCCGCCCCGCCCAGGGGGCGTGCCTGGGGGCGTGGCCCCAGGTCCAGCTTTCCAGTTCACTTCGACGGGCTCATCTGATTGGTCAAACCCCTGCGTCCCGGAAGTGACGTTAGCATCCGGCTGGGGCCTGCCCGCGGCGCCCCGCTGCTTGTCTTCCCACGCCCCGCCCCCTCTGCGCACCAAAACAAGCCAGCCGAGAGGGGGCGGGGCTTGCGGACGGTGGACGCCGCTCAGGGGCGGAGTTTGCGCTCGCGGCGACTGCGGGTTGGGCGCCCCGCCTCGGCCCGTATTTCCGCCCGCGGCCGACTGTTGGGCTCAAGCATGAAGGTGGGCCGGCGCCTAGTGTAGGGCCGAGCGTTGTGAGAAGGGCGGCGGGCACCGGGCTAACAGGCCGGGCGTGCGTGAGCGCACGCGAGGTCGCCACGAGTAACCGTCGCGGCGCGCGAAGCCGAGGTGGGGGTGGGGCGGCGCGGTCCCCAGCGGGGTCGCGGCGCGCGGCGGGAGTGTCCCCGGAGGCCGGCCGGCCGGCCGCCCTTTGTGCCCTGCACGCCGGGCCCAGGCGCCGGGACGCCCGCCCGCGCTCTCGTGTGAGCGAACTGTGGGCTTGGCGCTGCGCGGTGGCCCCGGGCTGGGGGTTCTCCTCGCGGCTGTCCTGGACGCAGTCCCCGTCGGCTGGCTCCGGAGAGGGGGTTCGCCCGTAGGCCTGCCCGCCCGCCCCGCCTGCAGGAGACGCGGCGCTGACAGCGGCCACAGGGACTCGGTTCCCTGGGCTGTGTCCCGGACGGAGCTGTGCCCGAGGTTGCGCCGCTCGCGCGAAACGGACCGACCCCCAGGGGCAGAGAACCCGGAGGAGGGCGAGTTCCTGGAGAGCCTGGGACGGAGGTTACCAGCACTTGTTAATTTGGGGAATGTTTGCCCCAGTGCCTAGCTGGGCCCTGAGTTGGGACAGTGCCCTGAGGACCTACGGGTTAGAATTGGCAGTTCTACCCTTATTTCATTCATTGCTTGAATTCATCTCCTGTAGCCTGCCCGAGCTTCCTCTTCAGGTGGCCCACTCTGGAGGGTTGATGCAAGGCCCGCATAAGATATAGAAGCCACTTCGTGCGTTGTACTTCTTTTTTAATTTCAGAAATGTTTTTTAGGGGGCCAAAGTCTGAATATATATGAATGCAAATCGTCACTCATTCACAGATAAGCCAAGCAATCTCAACTGAGGAGCACATCTCTGCAGGCTGATTGCCAAGGTAATTATTATTATTTCTTTTAAACTGTTAAGACTTTTTGTTTTTCAATCACAACATATACCCATCACTGGAGGTAAATGTAAAGTATGGATATATATGGAGCAGGTCCTTGCCTTAACAGACTTTCATTTGCTGGGGGCGGGTGGAGGAAGCAGGTAAGTAAACAGAAGTTCACCCTGATAAGTGCAGTGATAGAAATTTGAACGGATTCGTGAGGGAATAGAGAAGGAGGTCATCAAAGACAAACTGGAAGTGAGGTTTGGTCAGACCAGCCTCCCAGATGTGATGACACTGGGGATGCATTGCATCCTGGCGGTTCTCAAATCCAGGATTCTATCAGAATCGATAGTGGAGTACTTTAAAAATGAATCTGAATTTTATAAAAAAAGAATTTTTAAATTCCTGGAATTAACCAGGCAGAGGTGTGAAAGGTGAGTGTACAAGACAGATGGAAGAGCTTCCATCAAATTATAGAATGTAAGCACCATGAGTTGTTTTAGGATGAGCAGGTGAAGAGAGAGAAGGTAGTGGCTAGAATGGTGCTGAAGCCAGGTCATGGAGGCCTGTGTATTGAACTCAACAGTTTGCATTCTGTCCCAGAACTGTGGAGGAGTCCTCTGTGCTTTTTTTTTTTTTTTAATTAAATATTTATTTTATACTTTTTGGTGGGACATAACATCTTTATTTTATTTTTATGTGGTCACAACATCTTTATTTTATTTTTATGTGGTGCTGAGGATCGAACCCAGCAACCTGCGCATGCCAGGTGAGCACACTACTGCTTGAGCCACACCCCCAGCCCCCCTCTGTGCTTTTGAGATCTAGTTTGTCTTTTGGCTTCTGGAAACATTTTGGAGAAAGAATCGTTAGTGGATCAGACAAGAGGCGGAGAGATCATTTAGGCTTCATTAGTAATACAAGTAAATAGTGAAAATATGTTCAACTAAGGCAGTGGTGATGGCAGTGAGAAAAACTACAGGTGTAAGTTTAAGAAACTATAGACAGTCTAACTCGGGTGAGGATAAAGGCAGGAGAGTAGAGCTTTTGTTTTTAAACATTTATTTTTTGTTTGTAGTTGGACACAATACCTTTATTTATTTTTATGTGGTGCTGAGGATCGAACCCAGGGCCTTGCACGTGCTAGGCAAGCGCTCTACTGCTGAGCCACAACCCCAGCCCCCAAGCTTTTTTTTTTTTTTTTTTTTTGGTGTTTAAAGTTTTTTTCTTTTATTGGCATATTATAGTTGTATGTGGTGGTGGGATTTGTTGTTACTTGTTTATATATGATATAACAATATAATGTGGCCAGTATTATTCTCCAGTGTTTCCCTTTTCTCCTCTTCTTCCCTCCCTCTGGTCCCTTTTCTATACTCTACTGATCTCCCTTGGATTTTCATGAGATCTACTTCCACCGTTCTTTTCCTTTTTCCTGTGTACCTTCCTTATAGGACAGCAATCCTTGACTTTCTAAGTTTGGCTTATTTTGCTTAGCATAATTTTCTCAAGTTTCATCCATTTTCCTGCAAATGACATTATTTTATTTTTACTTATGGCTGAGTAAAACTCCATTTTGTATATATGCACTACATTTTCTTTACCATTCATCCATTGATGGACAGTGTAGGTTAATTTTTAGGTTACTGGTTTGAAAACTGAATGGATGGTATTGCAGTCAGTATAATGAATACAGGACAAAGTATAACAAATTTAAGCTAAGAATTTTGTTTTGTTCAGGTCATGTTTTCTTTGAGGTGGCTGTCAGTCCTGTAAGTAGAGATACACTGTAGTTGGGTATTGAATATATCTTGACTTCTGGGCTAGTCTGTCATTATTAAGTAGTTGAAACCTACTTATGCATTGCATTCATAGTTTTCTTTTTTCTTTTTTTTTTTGAGAGAATTTTTTTTTTTTTTAATATTTATTTTTTAGTTTTCGGCAGACACAACATTGTTGTTTGTATATGGTGCTGAGGATCGAACCCGGGCTGTACGCATGCCAGGTGAGCGCGCTACCGCTTGAGCCACATCCCCAGCCCCGCATTCATAGTTTTTCAAGTGTTGAAGATGTAGCTCATATCTAGCATGTGCAAGGCCCTGGGTTTGATACCTAGTGTCTCTCTTTTTTTTTTTTTTTTAAGCTGGGTAAGGTGCTTGTGGCCCAGCCACTCAGAAGGCTGAAGCAAGAGGATTGATTACTTGAGCCCAGTAGTTCGAGACTGCCAGCCTGAGCAACATACTGAGACCACCATCTAAAAAAGAAAGACATTTTTAGGTTTGGAGAAGCTTCAGTGCAGGTAGTAGTTAAAACAGTGGTTTGAGTAAGGCCATTCAGAAAAAGTATTGAATGCAGAGATTAGAAGGCTCAAACCTTTGGAGACTCATATTAGGAAGGGAAGCAGAAGGAATTTGGTAGACCTAGTGTCAGGAAAATGGTATGTCTGCATGGCTAAGGAATACATGGCCAGCATTTTTTTATACAGTTAGAGTCAAGTAAGGAGCCCATTGAATTGGGTACCCAATAGAGTGATTGTTGGACTTTGTAGAAACATTCCGTGGGCGAAGGGTGAAGCTAGAATTGAAAGGAGCTGACGAAGTGGGAGATGGTGATTTAAATTACTTTTTTTAAAAAAAAAAATTTTATTTTTTAGTTATAGGTGGATACAGTGCAGTGTCTTTATTTTGATTTATATGGTGCTGAGAATCGAACCCAGTGCCTCGCGCATGCTAGGTGCGTGCTCTACCTCTGAGCCACGACCCGAGCCCACAGATTTAAATTACTTTTTAAAGGTGTTTAACTGGGTAGAGTAGAAGAAAGAGATTGTTGTTTAAATTTCTGGCTAGTTAATTTTGAGGAATGATATTCCAAGGATGAGTCTGGGGAAAGGTATAGCCATACCTCTGGTGAAGCACCCTGCATTTTTGACACATCAACTCTCTTTTTGGTTGATGCTCAGAAAGTGGCTTTTACTTCTCTTCTGAAACCCCAGTATTATCTATATCCCAACACCCGCCCCCCAATCCGTTTAGGGTTTGGTAATGATTTCAAGCAGTAGCAGTTCAGTGAGAATAAAACACATCTCAGGAAGGACTGTGTTCTGCAGAGTTTTACAGGATTCATAGTAATTTATGAGCAAAATTTTTTTCTTAAAATATAAAGTACACCCTAATGAGATTTCTTGGGTTTAGCCATTGGACCAGGATGATTTTACATTTGGGGCCGTAGCCACAAATCTAAAATTTTGAGAGAAATCAAGGTAGCATGTTATTGATAATGCTCTACAGCAGTGTTCTTTCTGTATTCTATTCCGTGGCATTTACCTGTTCTGTGGCAGTGACTCCCATCTACTTTGAGAAAATTTGATCTTTTTTTTTTTTTTTTTTTTGGAAAGGAGTAGGATTTATTCAAGCACAAAGAAAATAGGCAGAGCTCCCAAAAGCACCTGACAGTAGGTTGCTCTACTCTTTCTTTCTTTTTTTTTTTTTTTTTAATATTTATTTTTTTTAGTTGTAGTTGGACGCAATACTTTTATTTTTATTTATTTTTATGTGGTGCTGAGGATTGAACCCAGGGCCTCATATGTGTGAAATGAGCGCTCTACCGCTGAGCCTACTCTTCCTTTTTGAGATGAATGAGGAAGTAGGCTACTTTTCTCAGTAGATTTCTTTTTTTTTTTTAAATACTTTATTAGTTGTTGGTGGACCTTTATTTATATATGGTGCTAAGAATCGAACCCAGTGCCTCACACATGCTAGGGAAGTGCTCTGCTCCTGAGCCACAGCCCCTCAATAGATTTCTTTAGTTTTCTGCTCTGTTGATTATGTTAAAGTACACATTTTATTTCCAGTAAATCCCTTCAGGTTTTTAAAGTTTAAAGTGACTATAATCTTGTGTGGGAGTAGTACTGGGATTGAAACTGGGGTGCTCATACCACTCCTTTTTTACAACTTTTTCTTTTGAGAGAGTGACGCTAAGCCGCTGCAGAGGTTGACCTCAAAATGGGATCCACTTGCCTCAGCCTCCCCCCCCCCCTTTTTTTTTTTTTTAATAACTATCAGGTATTGTGCTACTGAGCCACATCCAGCCCTCTTTTGTATTTTATTAGAGACAGGGTCTCACTGAGTTGCTTAGCACCTTGGTAAATTGCTGAGGATGGCTTTGAACTCGATATCCTCCTGTCTCAGCCTCTGGAGGCACTGGGATTACAGGTATGTGCCACCGTGCCCAGCTCAGCCTCCCATTTTGTTTGGATTTCAGGCATGTGCCAGTGGTGCCAGCCAACTGTAATCTTTTTATCTGCCAAAGTCATGCTTGAAACAATCTCTGTGAAGTTTCACTTTCTATTCTTGTTAGCTCACTTCCCCACATGGAGTAGATCACCTGAAAACCAGTTTCTGCAAGATTGTAAACATCCTAGTATTATGATGATGTCTTTTCAGATATAAGAATTTTTTGTTTAAATTAAATTACTGTATTTTGGTATTCCCTAGTCTGCAGTTTCCTTGTGAAAGGTAGGTATTAATTAAATGTAAATTAGAGTTAGTGTCAGGAACAGGCAGGACTCTGCCTCTGAACTTACATACTATTTTTTTTTCTATGTAACGAACTTTATTCTTTTGTTCCATTCTTTGGTCAGCTTCTAATTAAAGACTTAGTGAAATTGAACTCCAAAATAAGTTTTGACATTTTTTGAAATCTTATTTTCAGTGTACTTACATGATGAAAGCCACCCTAAATTCCTTTCAGAAACATGAGTAAAAGTAATCTTTTTTCTTTTTTTGGTGATACTGGAGGTCAAATCCAGGACCTTGCAGATGCTAAGCAAGTGTTCTACCACTAAACTGCATCCTCAGTCCAGTAAAAGTAATATTTAGTAAATTTTAAAAATCATTTTACAAGACAGATACATGTGTTTGGTTATATTTATGCACTTATAATTATTAAATCACGGGTTAAAGAGAAATTGGGGAGTTTAAAAAAGCCTTATGTTGAGAGCCACAGCCCAGTTGGATGAAGCCTGGCATTTTTGCCAGAAGGAGTGGTTGAGAGGTGATGCCAGCGAGCCATTAAGAAGATGATGATTAAATTAAGCTATATATAATTGCTGTGACTGGATGATGCTGGATTGAAACAGGCTGTGTATTCAGTTGTATATAGACCCCTGCTGTCCGGCAAAAGGGCGGCTCCTGCTGCCTGCGGGTGGAGGGAGTTCCGGTTGGTGTGTGGTGTTCCTAGAAGGGCCGAGTGGGTGGCGTTTGCTGGAGTTCACGTAATAAAGGAGTTCCTGTTTGAACCTACAAGTTCCTCGTGGTGGCTCTGTTATTTTGTGCCCAGCCAGACTGTGGCAGCCTTAGAAGAAAAGTATAGTTTCTTTCAAAACTTCATCAATTTCCCACTAGCAGAGACTTTGTTACTCTGAATTTTATGGTGATACTTATTCAAAAGCCTTGCTTTGCCAAATTTTTATTTTCAAACATTCAGTGACTTTGCTTAAGTTTCCTGACTGTTTGTCTCTTCTTCCCTTCTTAAGAGGGAATTTTTTTCTAATTTTCTCTTCTGTGAATTCTAATATTATCAATAGATTGTCTTTCTTTATGTGCTGTATGTATATACACAAAAAATGCAGAGCCTTTTTACATGCCACTAATCAGTTTTCGTTATATTTAGAGTGATTCAACCCTGAAGAGAATACACAGGTTATGGTTGGGTCCATTCTGTTTAAGAAAGGAACTTAGTTCACAGTTGGGTTTGCCCCCACCCTTCCAATTTGGCTGATATTTTTCTACAGGATAATTAACTTGAGGTCAGTTTTTTTTTTTTCTTGGTAACAAGAATTGAACTTGGTGTGACCACTAAGCCACATCCCCAGCCCTATTTTGTGTTTTATTTAGAGACAGGGTCTCACTGAGTTATTTAGCGCCTGGCTTTTGCTGAGGCTGGCTTTGAATTAGCAATCCTCCTGCCTCAGCTTCCCAAGATGCTGGGGTTACAGGTGTGCACCACTATACCTGGCTGAGGTCAGATTTTTTTTTTTTTTTTTTTTTTAAATATTTTTAAGTTTTAGGTGGACACAATATCTTTATTTTACATTTATGTGGTGCTGAGGATCGAACCCAATGCCTCATGCATGCTAGGCATATTCATTTTGGGTTTGTCTGTTTTTCTCATTACTGGACTGGAATCAGGATTGTTGGGGAGCATACCAGAGAGTTGAAGTTCCTTGTTAGGGGTGTTGACATGACTCCTTCCTCTGGTTGAGGATGGTTGGTCTTGATCCCTTCCTTAAGGTTGTGATTGTCAGGTGTCTTCATTATAAAGTGCTGGGTTTCCAATTTCTGTTTTTTGGAGGTGATTGACTAAAATTTCAGTTCATACTCAGGTGGGATAAGGGTTAAGCTTCACCTGTTGCAACCATGGATATCATATGTATTATTTGGAATTTTTATACAAGGAAGATGTGTACTTTCACTTAAGTTTGTTGATTCATTCAGTCACTTATTTGTATCAGTATAGATGAATTTGTACTCATTTATTCTTTGAGTTGTAATCCAGTATTACATTATTTTGTTCAAATTGTTTCAGCTTTAGCCATGGAAAACTCTTTTTAAGTTTGACTCTTTGGCTTTACAAAATCTTCTGGATTTACTTTGCATTTTCCCTGCTGTAACCTATTTATTTATTTAATGTATTATCACTGTATACATTTCTTTTTTATTTGGCCATAGTACACTGTTTCCTAACAGTGGGATTTCTGTTAGCTTTTATATGCATTTAGTTATAGGGATAAAACCATAGTGTCTTAGCTTATTTTGGTTGTACTTCATTGGAGTTGGAGATCTCTTTGGAATCTGGTATCCTTTCTATTTACTGAACCTGTTTCATGCCATCTGCAATTCTGACAGGACCCGCCTTATGTATCTTCATTCAAACCTTTGACATATTTGGTTCTTGAGATTTCCTCTTCCTTCCTGGTACTATTTGGCTACTTTGCTCTTTTTGAGATTGCTAAGATTTGGATGATTATTTTAATCCTTTAACTTTTAAGTTTGGTGAAGGCTGTGATGGTATATTTAAAAAAAGTTGAAGAGGCTCAAAAACCAACATTAAAATTAGCAGCAGTAGGTTGCTAGCATTTATAAGAATTTATAGCATATTGAAGAATAATGAGTATGGGCAACAATTAATATATATGTATATATACGTAAATTCACGTATATATGCTTTCTGAACAAGAGAAAGATCTTTTGTTTATATGTATTTTTGTTATTGGTATAGGTTTAGATCCATGGGTTTTTGTTTCCAGAGATTTCTAGACTAGGGCTTCTGGAAATATGAAAGGTTTCTTGATCTTTTGCTTTGCCTCCCATAAATTACTAGGCTACTCCAAAATTTGTACTTTGAAAAAACATTGATGAGTATGGCCTCTGTGTTTTTCATCAGAGTTATATCTGTAGCACAACTGTACATTGCCTTATGATATTTATTACTACCAAAGTGCTTTCAGTTTTTTGTAGGGTTTTTTTTTTTTTTTTTTTTTGTGTGTGTGTGTGTGTGTGTGTGTGTGTGTGTGTGTGTGTGTGATGCTCGGAATCAAACCCAGAGCATCGAGTATACTAGGTGAGCATTTTACCACTGCTTTGTCCCCTGCTCTGCTTTTGGATTTTTGAGTTAGTTGGTTCAGTGATAAGGTGATCAGCAGACTGTTCTAGCAGTGGAGGCACATTTTAAGTTCAAAACTTGGTTCTTAGGTAGAATGGATACCCATATTCCATAAAAGATAAATCTGAAGTGTTATTTAAATTTGTAAATGTCTCCTTTCTTGGGTATAGGTACAGAATGAGCACATGTTGTTGGTGTACGCCAGGTGGTATTTCCACCATTGACTTCCTCAAGTGCTATGCATCCAAGACCCTAACCAGTGAATTCCAGACAGCTGATGAAGACCTCTGCTACTGCTTAGAATGTGTAGCTGAATACCACAAAGCAAGAGATGAATTGCCATTCTTGCATAAGGTAATTTACATGAGATAGGCATTGTTTTTCAGAGCTAATAATAAAGAAGAGAATAAATTTGAACTCTATCAGAAGCATTCAGGGAAATGATGGGAGTTTAAAATTTAAAAGATAATGTACCTTGGTAGTACCTAGCTTACTAGTTGGTATGTAGCAGGTACTGATAAATACTTACCACTGATGGAATTGAATTGGAATCTAAAACAGAATTTTTTATAATTTATCACTTGTCATTTTGATATGACATAATTTTATAAAATGAAGTCGTGTGGAATATTTTTTTTTATGTCAATGTATTTTTCAGTGCTATCTTCATGAATTGGAATGACTTGACTTTTTTAATTGTTAATTTTTCTTTTTTTATGGGTAGATGGTTACAGATCTCTGAAGGCAAGCATTTGGTTTATTATATTTATTTGATGAAAAGAACGTAGAACATAGAGCTGTGTACAGTATATGATGGTGGGATAATTATGAATCTGTTGAGAGACTTGCAATTTATAAAGTTTGCTAATTATGAAGCAGCCCACTTTCTTCATGCTGAAGCTGATGCTCTAAGGTAGGCAGCTATGGCTGGAACATGGAAGGAAAGAGAGAGAGGGCCTTGCTCCTGCCCTTTGAGTAGAACCTGGTGGATAGGGTTGCTGGGATACTTTTAGCAAAACTGCAGGAGAGGTGTTTGAACATCTCATACTTCATGTACTCATATCTCATAAGCATGGCCATGTTGAGAAGCTGTTTCCCTTAAATTAATGTAGGCATACCTCCTTTGGCTTGTTGCTTTATTGTGCTTCACAGATGCTGGTTTTCTTTCTTTCTTTCTTTCTTTTTTTTTTAACAAATTGAAAGTTTATGGCAACCCTGCTTTGAGCAAGTCTACCAGTTTGATTTTGCAACCCCAGTACACTCACTTTGTGTCTCTGTCACATTTTGGTAATTCTCGCCGTACTTCCAACTTTTTAGTTATTATTATATCTGTTATGGTTATCTGTGGTCATTGGTCTTTGATGATTGTTGTAGGGTGCAGTGAACTATGCTCATATGAGACAGAACTTAATCAGTAAGCGTTGTATGTATTCTGTATGTATGCTTTACTGACTGGCCATTTCCCATTTCTTTCCCTTTCCTTGGGCTGCCTTAGTCCCTGAATGACAATAGTATTGAAATTAAGGCAAGTAATAACTGTACAATGATGCCTAAGTGTCTAAGTGAAAGAAAGAGTAACATGTCCATCACTTTAAATCAAAGTCTAGAAAAGATGAGATAAATCTAGAAAAGATAAGTTTAGGAAGGCATGTCAAAAGCTATGCCTCTGGCAGGGCCCTATGGCACACATCTTTGATCCTGGGGACTTAGGAGACTGAGGCAGGAGGATTACAAGTTTGAGGCTAGCCTCAGCAATTTAGAAAGGCCCTAAGTAACTTGATGAGACCCTATCTCAAAAAAGGAAAAAGGGCTAAGGAGTAGCTCAGTGGTAAAAATTCCCCTGGGTTAAAACCCCAGTTCTAAAAGAAAATAAAAGCCATCCTCTTGTGCCAAAAAGCCAAGTTGTAAATGCAAAGTTCTTGAAGAAAGTTAAAAATGCTATTCCAGTGAACATGTGAATGACAAAGTGAACAGCCTTATCACTGATACAGAGAAAGTTTCATTAGTCTGAAGGGAATATCAAACCAGTCACAACGTTCCCTTAAGCCAAAGCCTAATCCAGAGCAAAGCCCTCTCTTTAGTTCTGCAAGACTGAAACGTGAGGAAGCTGCAGAAGAAAAGTGAAGCTAGCAGAAGTTGGTTAAGGAGGTTTAAGGAGAGAAGCCATCTGCCTAATGGAAGTGCAAGGTGAAGCACCAGTTGCCCAGAGGATCTCCTGACATGGTTGACAAATGTGGCTTCACTGCACAGATTTTCAGTGTAACAGAAATAACCTTATATTGGAAGAAGACACCAGCCAGTGTTTTTATAACTGGAGAGAAGGTAGTGCCTGGCTTTAAAGCCTCAAAAAACAGGCTGACTTGGGGCTGGGGATGTGGCTCAAGTGTAGTGCACTCCCTGGCGTGCGTGCGGCCCAAGTTCGATCCTCAGCACCACATACAAACAAAGATGTTGTGTCCGCCGAAAACTAAAAAATAAATATTAAAAAATTCTCTCTCTCTCTCTCTCATCTCATCTCATCTCTCTTTTTTTAAAAAAAAAAAAAAAAAAACAGTCTGTTGTATTAAGGGGTAATGTGGCTGGTGACTTAAGGTTGAAATCAATATTCATTTACCATTCTGAAAAAAAACCCTAGGGTTCTTAAGAATTATACCAGATAGACTCTGCCTGTGCTTTATATTTTATTTTTATTTTTTCATTTTTTTGGTACTGGGGATTAAACTAAGGGGTGCTTTACCAATGAGCTCCCATCCCAGCCCTTTTTATTTTTTATTTTGAGACAGGGTCTTGCTAAGTTGCTTGAGGCCTCTCTATGTTGCTGAGGTTGGCCTTGAAATTGGAATCCTCCTGCCTCAGCCTCCTGAGTTGCTGGGATTATGGGTATGTGCCACCATGCCTGATCTGCCCGTGTTTTAAGGAGGTTTAAGGAAAGAAGCCATCTCCATAATATAAGTGCAAGGTGAAGTAGCCAGTTGCCCAGAAGATTTAGGTAACATGGTTGACGAAGGTGGCTTCACTGAACAGATTTTCAGTATAGCAGAAGTAACATTATATTGGAAGAAAATACCAGGAAGAAGATACCGGAAAGCTTCAAAGCAAAGCCTTCTCTACAAAGCTGGATGATGGTACATTTTTTTTACACACTGGTTTATTAAATATTTTAAGCTCACTGGTTATGCATAGTAAGATGGATTCCTTTCAAAATGTTACTGCTCATTGACAGTACAGCTGTACAAGATTTATGTTTTCTTTTTATGGTACTTGGGATTGAACCTAGGGGTGCTGTATCATTCCCAGCCCTTTTTCAAATTATTTAAAAATCTTGAGACAGATTCTCACTAAATAATTCAGGCTGGCCTTGAGCTTGTGATCCCCCCGCCTCAGCCTCCTTAGTTGCTGGGATTACAGGCATAAAACCACCATTCCTGGCAAGATCAATGTTTTCATGCCTACTAACTCAACATCCATTCTTAGCCTATGGATCAAGGAATAATTTTGACTTTCAAGTCATTATTTAGGAAATGTGTTTCATAGGGCTGTAGCTATCATAGTTGGTCATTTCCTCTGCTAGATCTGGGCAAAGTAAATTGTAAACCTGGAAAGGATTCCCCATTCTAAATATAATTAAAAGCACTCATGGGAAGAGGTTAATAAAAGCTGTGTGTGGTGGTGCATACCCAGAATCCTAGCTACCAGAAGGCTGAAGTTAGGAAGATCGCCAGTATAAGGCCAGCCTTGCCTTTCTCCAAAAAATAATGTCAACACTAACAGGAGTTTGGGAGAAATTGATTCCAACTCTCATGGATGACTTTGAGGAGTTCAAGACCTTATAACTAACTACAGATTGGGTGGAACTAGCAGGAAAACTTGAAGTGGAGCCTCAAGATATGGAATTGCTTCAATCTCCTGGTGAAACTTGAATGATTGAGGTGTCACTTCTTACTGATGAGCAAAGAAAGTAGTTTTCTTGAGATGGAGTCTACTCCAGGTGAAGATAACTTCGGATATTGTTGAATGACAACCAGGGATTTAGAATATTACATAAACTTAGTTGATAAAGCACTGCAGGGCTTGGTAGAATTGACTCCTCTATTTTGAAAGAAGGACTGTAGATAAAATGCCATCTGGTAGCATCTTGCTCTAGAGAAATCCGACATGAAAGTAAGAGCTAACTTGATCACTGAGAAATTGCCATAGCCTCCCACCTTTGAGCAGCTACCACCCTGATGGTGAGCAGCCATCAACATTAAGACTGTCAGCAGCAGATTGCGGCTCCTTAAAGGCTCGGATGATCCTTAGCACTTTTAAGCAATAAAGCATTTTTAAATTAAGGTACTTACATTGCTTTTTTTTTTTTTTTTTACATATATTGCTGCTTTGTAGACTATGGTATAGTGTAAACAACTTTTACATACACTGGGAAATCAAGAATTCATGTGACTCACTTGATTGCAGTATTTACTATATTGCAGTGGTCTGGAACCAAAGCTGCAGTGTGTCAGGCATGTCTGTGTAATGGCTAATACTTTAAACTTCTGAATTTGTATACTGAAGAAAAGGTTTTCTAGAATGATCACCCTTCTAGCATATTTTGTTGATATAAAATACACTGTCCATTTTTCTCTTCCTGTAGGTCTTATGGGAATTAGAAACTTTACGTCTCATAAATCACTTTGAAAAATCCATGAAGGCAGAAATTGGAGATTATGTTGACTTGTATATAGTAGACAATGGAGAGGCACAGCCGTTGGACTTCACTGGCCAAGACTTTGAAAATAAACTTCGAGTTCCTCTACTGGAAATATTGAAATATCCTTATCTGCTTCTACATGAGCGTGTTAGTGAGTATCTTGGGTGTTTCTCAACTTACATGTTTTATTATTTAAAAAATTAGCCTGGGGATATAACTCGGTGCTGATCTAGTATGTATGAGGCCTTGGGTTCTGTCTTGTGTGCGCGCGCGCACGCTCTCTCTCTCTCTCTCTCACATACACACACACACTCTGTAAGAAGAGTGAACACCCGATACTTGCCATATAAATACTATAGTTAAGGTTTTGCTGAATTTGTTTTGTCTCATACCTACTCATTCAGTTAATGTTTATTGACATAATGTTCTCAGCCTTGGCATTACTGACATTTTGGACCAGATAATTCTTCATTGTGGGGGACTGTGTTATTCATTGTGGGATGTACAGCAGCGTTCCTGGCTGCTGTGTACTATGCCAGTGGCTTCCTCTTCCCCACTGTGCTGTTGTGACAATCCAGAATGACTCCAGGCATTGCTGAATGTCCCTTGGTGAAAGGGATGAGACCACAATCCCTGTGTATGAAAGCCATTGGTCCGCAGTGATTTTCACTGATCTCCATGGCATCGCATGTTGTGGTTGTCTAGACTTTGGTTGTTTATATCAGTCTTTCTTTCTTTCCAGTTTATATTTTTTAGTTGTAGAAGGACACAGTACCTTTATTTTTATGTGGTGTTGAGGATTGAACACAGTGCCTCACATGTGCTAGGCGAGCACTCTACCACTTGAGCCACATCCCCAGCCCCTCAGTATTTCTTAATGTAGATCTCTTCAAAGACATCTTCATCTATTAAATGTAATAAATTAAGAATACTTTTAAGGCATCTTACATCTCGTCCACATTTATATTTTCTCAATAGTCGCAAAAATGAAGGATTTTGTCTCTTTTGTTTAAATCAAGAGTCCTGTCAGGGACTATATATTGAATTTGGTTTGTACAATTCATGTACAAACCATGCACCTGTATGTTTGTACAGGTACAAAAACATATCCTTGTTTTTTTGTTTTTTTTTTTTTCTTTTTTGTTTGTTTTTGGTATCAGGGATTGAACTTGGGGTGCTTAACTACTGAGCCACATCCCCAGCCCTTTTTTATATTTTATTTGGGGACAGGGCCTTGCTAATTTGCTGAGGCTAGCTTTGAATTCACGATCCTCTTTCCTCAGCCTCCTGTGCCACTGGGATTACAGGAATGTACCACCTTGTCTAGTTATTTTTTTCCCTACCAGGTGTTTGACTTGTTAAAGAGACTATCTAGTTGCCCTGTGGAAAAACAGTTTGGATTTTTCTGATTTTTAACTTGGGTCTCTATTCTTTGTACTATAATAAACTGAAAAGTAGACCTAAAGATTTAATTGGACGAACAAATTCTAAGTCAGTGAATTCAAAGTGATTAGATTCAACAATTCTAACAGGGCATTTTAAAAACATTTATTAAATAACAACATTCAGAAAAATATATCTCATGAGTTTTTACATTTATGTAGCCAGTATCTAGATCAAGAAACAAAACATTATCAACATGCCTTGAACTCTTTTTCTAGTCATCATCCCTCTTTCCCATCCCAACTACTGTTACTAATACTTTTTGAAGCTTAAAACACTAAAGTTAGTTGATCTATAGGGTAATTGATAATTCATAATTCATAAATAGCCATTTGGGGAATAAGCTAACTCATTCTTCACTCCTATACTAAATACAGCCCCTAGGTCAAAATGTAAAATGCAAATGGAATTGACCAGCTCTATAACCATACTTCTCAAAAATACCCTGTGGAGATAATTGTCAAGTGTAGAAATATATAGAGAGAGGTAAAGAGTATGCTAAGAACATACCGTGATCACATGAATAGGCATATATCATAAATATTGTGCTTCCATTTACATTGTAAGCATTTGCATACCTCAATTAAAGTTGGGGGCAACTGACAACTTTTCATGTACTTAATATTAACAACTAAGGAGTCAGATTTAGGGACTCTTAAAATGTTGATAAGACTTATATTTTTATTTTCTGCCTCCTTTTTCCTATTTAGATGAATTATGTGTTGAAGCACTTTGTCAAATGGAACAAGCCAATTGCTCCTTTCAGGTTTTTGACAAACATCCAGGGATCTATTTATTTTTGGTCCATCCCAATGAAACGGTGAGTAGGAATGTTAGGCAATAGAAGGACATATTTTATTTATGTAAATAAATAAATATTTTATTTATTTATGGGGGCTTGGTTTTGTTTGATTTTGCACTAGAGATATAACCCAGGGCCTCAGGTATGCTGGGCAAGTGTGCTTTACCTCAGGGTGCTATGTCTCCAGCCCCATAGTGGGTTAGTGGAGGTTTTTGGTGTCTATTTTAAGATATTTGCTAAAATATTTTAAAATTTTTATATTTTATATTATTAAAGCTAAGAAAAAGGTAGTATGATGGGTGATACTTGAACTTAAAAGTGAAGTAAGGGAATAATTTTGATTTTCTTTTAATATGTCAGTTGAATTAATGAAGAAGGACTCCTCTCGTTTCTTACTTGCTTACCCAACTCCAAAAACATTGAAATACTAGTTTAAATATTTGAAAAAATTATTTTGCTTATAGATTAAAAGGTGGGGCAGGGAAAGGCTGGGAAATTCTTAGGTGCCAGAAACAAAGAAGAACGTGAAAGTCAAAACAATGAGCAGGAACAGATGGAGAGAGCAACATTGAAGCATTGAAACCTGACATGGTCTTCTGGCTGAGGTTTGGGCTTTTATCACCCTATAGTGAGGCAATCTGTGCTGCTGGTCCTCACACTTAGAACTGAGTTACTGCACCAAGCCATGAGAGGCTGCTCTGACAAAGTTAGGTAAAGAACAAAGGGCTCGTTTTCCCCAGCTGAGAAAGAGCATGGTCTGGGATCTCCAGTCCAGGTGGTGTTTCCTTGTGCCAAACACAACAATTATAGGAAAAGTAAAAAATGAGGACATTAAAAAAATATAATCACAATTCTTAGAAGTTAACTGTTTCCGTGGTCCAGCAAAGGAAGAGAAGAAGCCCAAAGTAATAAATGGGTAGAATCTTGTAGGCCTGCGTGGCTGTAGGTAGCTTGGGGCTCAGCTTTTGCAGTATCACAGAAATTAGAAGTGCACTCCAGGCAAGACAAAGAACCAGGCCAAGTTCTTGTCTAGAACAAGACAGGTGGGGTTCCTCTGTGAAAGAAGGCTGACAGAGTACCAAGGTCTAACTACAGAGGAAGCAGGTTTTGGTAGTAAGCTTTTTATCACTATAATAGCTGAGATAATCAACTATAAGGAGGAAAGTGTTATTTTGTCTTAATTTTGGAAGTTTTAGTCAATGATTAGTTGGCACCATTACTTTGGGCCTATAGCAGCACATCATGGCAGGAGTGCATGGTGGATCAGAACAGTTCTCGTGGCCAAGGACTGAAAAAGAAAGGAAGGAACTGGGAGTCCCATAATGCCCTCTGAGGATATGCTCCCAGTGACCTGAAGACCTTCTGCTAGGCCCCACTTCTTAAAGGTTCTGTCATCTTCCAATAGAGCTAAGCTAAGGACCAAGCTTTTTTTTTTTTTTTATGTATTTTTTGGTTAGACAAAACCTTTATTTTGTTTATTTTTATGTGGTATTGAGGATCGAACCCAGGGCCTTGTGCATGCTAGGCGAGTGCTCTACTACTGAGCCACAACCCCAGCCCAGGACCAAGCTTTTAACGTGGGCTTTTGGGGACATTTCAGATGCAAACTATAGCATAGGTCTCAACTCATAATCAGATTCTGGGACAAGCACTTGCAGGTTTGGTGGCTGAGTCTACATTGTGTCTTGTGTACACCAAAGTCAGGGAGCCCTGACCTGCCGACAATAGACTGAGTTCTGGAGTAGGACTCTGAGGGTTAGATAGAGATAATCCCAACTTTATAGTTAGGAAATTGTATGGAAGGAGTAGTGGAGGAATGTGGAATCCCTCCCTGTAGGATGAGCTTGCAAACCAGATCCCTGAATAACTCATGAAGAACATGAGTGTTAAGCTGTATTGCCCAGACCAGTTCTGTTGGCCCTTCCACTGAGGTCAGCTCTGGAGGACATCTGTTGTGAATGGTGTGAGAGGTATGTAGGAGATAGCTGTATTACAGTTTGGATCTAGGATGTTCCTTGAAGACCTTTGCCTGTTAAAGGTTCAGAGGTGGGCCTTGGAAAGTGACTGGAACATGAGTGCTTCAACCCCATCAGTGAAGTAATGATGTGAAGGCATTATTGGGAGCTGTGGGTCTTTGTGGGTGTGTCCTTGAGGACTGTATCTGTGTCCCCGCCCCCCCTTTCCTGGTTGGTGTGAGCTGAGTAACTTTCATCTATCAGGATGTTCTGCCTCTCCTCGGGCTCAAAACAATGGAGCCAGCCCACTTTGGACTGAAACTTCTGAAACTTTAAGTTGTTATTGTCAGGAATTTGGTCACAGCAACAAAAAACTGACTTCACACACCTGTTTGGCTGTAAAATGGGAAAAGAATTAAGATTTTGCTTTGAGTTCTCCTTTACCATTTCCTTGGATAAGCAGTGCTTGCATCTGTATCTGTGGCAATTCAAGATCTGATCCAGGTGATGATAGGAATAAAACAGGCAGTGGGCTGTGGCTCAGTGGTAGAATACTTGCCTAGAATGTGTGAGGCACTGGGTTCGATTCTCGGCACTGCATATAAACAAATAGATATTAAAAACGAAACAAAAAACCAGAGCAGCACAGAGCCCTGATGTTTGTGAGGTGCTGAGATAAGCAGTTGGGGAGCAGCTAACACTGGTAGTTACTTCAGTGCCATCCCATCAGAACCCTCAGGACTGAGGAATTGCAGCCTACTAGTGCTTTCTCCTAATATTGCTTCGCCCTAACCTTGGAAATGTAAGTTGTGTGGCAGTGACTGATTATTCTTTTTGTGGCTTGGGTTTATCCCCCACCACTCTTATCCCTGAATTCATTGGGAGTAAGCCAGGCTGGGGGCTGGCCTTCTTGCATAGTTAGGAAGGTATTTGAGAAAAAGATTTCAATAGAAGCGATAATACCAGGGCATTGTCCAGGAATTAAAAACTATAATAAACATGCTAGAAGAAATAAGAGAAGATATAATGTTAAATGAGAACTGGAAAACTAAGAACCAGATAGGCATAATGGTGCTTGCCTATAATTTCAATGACTCAGGAGGCTGAAACAAGAGGATCACAAGTTCAAGGCCATCCTGGGAAACTGAGAGAAACTCTTGTCACAAAATAAAAAATAAAAAGGGCTTGGAATATAGCTCAGTGGTAAACTGCCCTGGGTTCAACCCCTGGTATTATGGGGAAAAAAAAAGGAAAAAGAAAACATAAGATAGGAGATAGGATGAGTAATAGAATGGCTGTGGCTAAGAAATTGAGTTACTGAGAAGACTAGATTGAGCAGATCCTTAAGAATGAAAAAAGAGAAATAGATGACATAATAAGAAAAAAGTAGTAATGTTAATGTAGATAAAAGAAGTATCAGACAGAGATACTGGAAAAATAATGGATATAAATTTACTGGAATTAAAATAAGGAGATCACTTGATTCTAAGGACCTATATAAAATCTAAGAAGAAAAGGAAAAGCCAGGTCTCAACCTCAGCAAATCAATGAAATTTAAGAGCGGCAAAAATAAATTTTGAAAAGATTAAGAGAAGACCATATTGTGAAAACAGAATCAGATTGATGCCAGATTTGTAGCAGTCCTACTGTGTGCAAGAAGACAGTAAAGGAGTATTTTTATGGGGAGAGAGCTTAAAAACCTAAATTTGTACCTCTACCTGACTCATTTAAATATAAGAACATAATTAAAATATCCTGTTTGTATAAGGTTCTAGGTCTACCACACACAGGCCAGCACCAAATGAAGTACATAAAAGATAAGAATCCAGGAGATATTATAAGAGAGACATAAACTTGGATAAATACTGTGGTTGAATTTCTTTTTTAAAGTTAAATTCAAAGAAAGTGAATGTATTAGCAATAATTTGGAATAGGTAATAGCAATATGATGATGGGTTTGACCAGCAAGGAGATCAAGGATGTGGCAGCATGCTGTTAAGTTTTTATCCTAAGGACAGAGGTAGCTGAGAATTATTAAGAAAGAAGAAATGCTTTTAAAGAAATAGAAAAAAGGCTCATACATATAAACATATTGAAGGACATCAATATTTAATGTAAATGGGCTGAATTTGTCAGTTAAACAATAGATTGAATTACTGAAGACGTAAAATCTAGAAAGATTCTGTTTCTAAGAGACACCTAAAACATAATAAGGACAAAAAAAGTTGATTACAAGGGATAGAAAAATAATAGGCAACTACTAGCCTTAAAAAAATACTGGTGAAGTTATAGTATTATCACATAGTCTTTTTTTAGAAAGGGTTGTATGTGGTCAAGTGAGTAATATTCTAAAGTAACATCAAAGTAGATGTTGGAAGTATTGGTAGAATTAACAGGGAGATATATGTAAATTCATTAATGTTGTATGAGATTTCGACATACTCCTGTTAGTCGTCATTTTATTCATTTTTCTTTTTTGCAGTGCTGGGAATTGAACCCAGGATTTGTGCATGCTAGGCTAGTGATCTACCACTGAGCCACATACCCAGACCTTCCTGTTCTTTTATTTATTTATATATATATATATGTTGTAGGTGAACACAATAGCTATATTTATTTTTATGTGGTGCTGAGTATCAAACCCAGTGCCTCATGTGTGTGAGGTGAGCGCCCTACCACTGAGCCACAAACCCAGCCCCCTTTCTGTTCTTTATTGATGAATCAGTAGACAAAATCCAGGAAGGGAATTAAATATCTGTATAAGGCAATTTATAAGCTTGACTTATGGGCTACATATATGAGCTGTGCATCTAACCAGTTTTTCAAATACTACAAAGATGACCACATACTGGACCATAGTGAATACTTCAACATACTTTAGTGACAGTTTGAAAGAATTCGTAGAAAAGAAACTAAGCATTGATTATGAAGTAAAAATAGACAAAATTATTATTAATAACTGTTGTTAATCAAAATATACAATTAAGAGAGTGAAAATAGAAATTAAAAATTGGGAGATTTGTATGATACTAATAATACTGCAAAAGAAAAATGGACGAAGATCTGAACAGGTATGAGCCAACAGAAAAAAATATGTCCATCTAATAAACATACAAAGGAATGTTTTAATTTAAAGGTCAGGGAAATAAGAGCACAGAGTCATATCATTTTGCACTTCTGTGAATCTTGTTATTGCTGGTAAGGAATAATTGTGTAAGTATAAACTGGTGCAGCTACTTCAGAGAATAGTTTGTAGATGTTCACATATCTCATGATCAACATTTTAATTCCTGGCTTAGTATGTGAAAGAGAACTTACAATTTTTGTAATAGGAGGCCTATATAAGAAATTCCATAGCATGCTACCCAGGGTGAACAAAAATTTGGAAACAACCCAAATACCATCAGTAGGAGGGTTGATGAAGAAATTGGTTTGGTCAGACATTGGAATATTATGTAGCAATTAAGACAAACTTGCCAATTTGAAACTGTGGATGAATCTTAGTAATATTATAAGTGAAATAAAGTACCTAAAGATTACATATAGGAGAAAACCCTTTCCACAGGGTTAACAAAACAAAATGAATACGTGTGTGTGTGTGTGTGTGTGTGTGTGAGAGAGAGAGAGAGAGAGAGAGAGAGAGAGAAAGAGAGAGAAGAGGTGCTTACAGTGGTCTTCATTGTAGTCAGTTAAGGTGCTGTCCAGTTTAATTTGTTGATGCTTTAGACATGTGAATACCCTGCCACTAACCACAATTTCCTAAATGTAACCATATATCTTTTTTTCTGTGATTGCAAAATAGTGATTTTCAACTCCAGCAGTGTCTTGATATTTATCAGACAGCACTTGACATTAATTATACTGAAATCAAGATCCTTTTCCCTTTTCCTCAATTACCTGTTTATTATCAGTATAGATTCATGGATACCTTTGTTGTGGGTTTGTGGTTTGTTTTTTTTTTCAGGAGTTTGTAATTCATTAGTCATGTTGGCTTGAAGCTCAGGCTTTTACTCATTAGGTCTTTTTCAAACTTCATTAACTGTAACTTATAGTTAAAAATGCATTAATTGAGTGCACACATACATAGCATATAAAACAAAGTATTTCATGAAAGGCTTTACTATACAGGGTGCACTCTTGATATTTTTCTCTTCTACTTTATTTAGTTATTGACTTTAGTCTGTAATCACTAAATTTAATTTATGGCCTCTGAGAAATTTAATGTCACTTCTATATGTTTTGCTGTCATTTAGAAGTGATTGGTGATTTCTTTGGAGATGTCTGGTTTTTGCTTTTTTTAAATTATTATTATTTTCTTTTGGGGGTACTGGGGGTTGAACTCAGGTGCACTTGACTATTGAGCCACATCCCCAGCCCTATTTTGTATTTTACTTAGAGACAGGGTCTCACTGAATTGCTTAGTGCCTCACTAAATTGCTGAGGTTGGCTTTGAACTCAGGATCCTCCTGCTTCAGTCTCCCAAGCCACTGGGATTATAGACATGTGCCACCTTGCCTGGCTCTTCGCCTTTTTAAACTTTCTATTATGGAGAAGTACAAACATACAAAAATAGAGGGAATGGCACAGTGAACTATCCCATTTATCAGTCAGTAAGCTTTATCAATTACCAGTATGTACTCAACATTTTACTCTGCTTTGGATCAGTTTAGAACAGATCTTGGACATCAAAGCAATTTATCCACAAGATAGTTCAGTATATGTTTCTAAAAATTAAGAACTTTGTAAAAAATGCCATTTTCACATATAATGTTTTTTTAATACTGTATTTCCTGTCGGTGTTTAAATGATTGGAAATGATTGTCTCATAAATGGCTTGTTAAGTCTATTAAGTTTAGTTTGTTCGGGATCAGACAAGATCTATATTTTGTCTTAATTAGTATCTTAAAATGTAGAGAAAGTCCAATTTTCTTATCTAGGCTGTTGCTGTACATAGGTAGACCTTTGTTGAATGAAGTCATAAACATACTCTTGTTTCTGCATTTAGGTTCGGCGCTGGGCTATCCTGACTGCAAGAAACTTGGGAAAAGTGGACAGAGATGATTATTATGACTTACAGGAGGTTTTAACTTGCCTCTTCAAAGTCATAGAGTTGGGGCTTTTAGAAAATCCAGACATCTATACTTCTTCTGTTCTCGAAAAGGGTAAACTGATTCTTCTGCCTTCACACATGTATGATACAACCAACTACAAAAACTATTGGTTAGGTGAGTATTGTTTCTACACCAATAATTATTCTTCCTGAGTGTCCTGAACAGGAAGTAATCTCTTGGTTATCTGGTCCAAATTTCAAAATTCAGGATTTCATTGTTCCTAGTTCCTGTTCTGTTATTTAATTGACTTAAACATTATGTGTATTATCATTAAACATTACTTATCCTAGATACCTGTGGAAGAGGTACATTTTCAAGCACTGGAAAATGAATCTCTTGTTTAAAGCAATATTAGAACAACAAAGTGTAAGTTAAGTAGTTAATTTTTGGGGGGTGGGGGTGCCAGCAATTGAACTCGAGGACACTTGACCACTGAGCCTCATCCCCAGCCTTATTTAGTATTTTATTTAGAGACAGTGTCTTACTGAGTTGCTTAGTGCCTCCCTTTTGCTGAGGCTGGCTTTGAACTCAGGATCTTCCTGCCTCAGCCTCCTGAGCCGCTGGGGTTACAGGTGTGTCACCGCACCTGATAGTGGTTGACTTTAAATAGGGTTTGATCATTAACAACTCTTTTGCAATGTGTAAAATATTTGCTGGTCTAAAGAAACATGAATATTATTTACAAGTTTGGTACTGAGTCAAAAAGGTTCTTCCCCATTTCATCAATTCCAGGTCCTAAGGTCATGTACTATAAATGGCATTAATTTTTCTTTCTTAGTGATGTATGAAGTTGGTACATTTAAAAATCGAAGGCATCTTAGACTTGATGAAATACAGGTTACATGGTAGTCATCTTAGACTGTTCTTTAACCAAGCCCGTCCCATTCTGCCCTTTTACCCTTGAAACAGTTTAGGTTCTATTACTTGGGAGCTGCTGTACTCAAATATCTTAGACTTATATATATTTGGGGAATGGGGTTCTTTTTGGTTTATCTTTCTCCCCCTTTTGCCAACAAAACCAGAAAAGGCATTAGAATAGTGTTATTTCATCACTTCAAGAACACTGTGAATGATCTTACAGGTATTTGCATGTTGCTGACCATTCTTGAAGAGCAAGCCATGGACTCACTGTTATTGGGCTCAGACAAGCAAAATGACTTTATGCAGTCAATCCTTCACACCATGGAGAGGCAATCAGATGGTAACACATTTCCCTTGCTAACTGCTTTTGAGTCTTGTGATGATGCACTTCTAAAATGCTAGTGTCACTAGAAGGAGTGGGGTGTGATATTGTGGGGAGAAAAGAAACTAATTTGTTTATGGTTTACATCACAGAGACAGACTTTTGAACTGGAAAGGACCTTTAGAGTAAAATTTAAGTACCTTCCTTTTACTATGGAAGAAGTGACTGAAACTCAAAGTGGTTTAACTTCCACATTGAAGCAGTTAGTGCTGGAATGAGCCCTGGAATCCCTGGGCCTTACACAGGTGTGGTAACTAACACTGGGCAGAGCCTCACTTTGCCCACAGTCTTTACCTGCTTGTTCATTTTACCAGTCACATGTGTTGTTTTTTGTTTGTTTGTTTGGTACTGGGGATTGAACTCAGCACTCAACCTGAGACACATCCCAGCCCTATTTTGCTTTTTATCTGAGACAGGGTCTCACTGAGTTGTTTAGTGCCTGGCTTTTGCTGAGGCTGGCTTTGAACTCATGATCTTCCTGCCTCAGCCTCCTGAGCCACTGGGATTACAGGCGTGTACCACCACACCTGGCTCACATGTGCTTAGTGAATTTAAATTAATTAAAATTAAAAATCCACCTTTTCAGTCCCACTAGCCATATTCCAAGACTCAGTCACCACCCATGTGTGGGGATTCAGTATAAGTGTAGATAAGAAGCATTTCCCATCATCAGAAGATGTTCTTGGACAGTGCTGATCTTAGATGGTTTCTAAAAAAAGATCCTAAAATTTGTCATGGTATTTATTAGACCACACTCTTGCTGTTGCTTGAATTAAGCTGATAACAGAGTGCTTCTAATATTTATGAAGGAATGAATCAACAAAACATACCAGATTCTATGCCAACATAATGAACATATTTTCCCACCTTTCACTTTTCTGCAATCAGCTTGACTGGATATGAACTCACTGGTTGGAGATTTTAAAAGAAATATGTTTTATTTTATTCATAGCATGTTGTTTCCTGATATATTATTCCTGATTAGGGTGATTACTAATTCATTTGCCAGCAGTTGCTTCATAAATTGTTCACTTTTCCTGTGCATATCTGCACATATAATTCTGTCCTTTCTGTTAATCCATCTCACCTACCTACCTTCTTCAAAATGTGAGTCACCTTTCTTAAGAAATCTTTTATAACTGTCTTCACCTAACTACTTTTTTTCTTATATGAGAGCTTATTAAACATGAGGCAGCATCAGTTATTGTGAGGGATACAAAATGCCTAAGAAGAGCTGCACAAATAACTGATAAAAAAGCAGAGGGGGTATGTGTCAGTGAGAGAGAGAGAGAGACAAACAGGGAATAAACCCAGGGAGTTGTGAATTTTGGGCAAGTGCTCTGTCACTGAACTACATCCTGGCCCTTTTTATATTTTGAGTCAGGATGTTGCTGAGCAGCCCAGGCTGGCCTTGAACTTGCAGTCTTCCTGCTTCAGCCTCCCAAGGACTTGGGATTACAGGTGTTCACCTCCATGTCCAGCAAAAAAAAAAAAAAAAGAAAAAAGAAAAAGGCAGAGTTTTAGGAAGTCTAAGGGAAATAAAGCTATACATTCAAGGGTGACTAAATATTGTCAATAACAGGGTCCTTGGCCCAGAAGAGTTCTTTCTGTAGGAAATGAAATGGCTGAGCAATATTTAATAAAGAAAGAGGCATTTAAGCTGGACAGATGGATAGAATTTTGATAGATGGTGCTTATTTGGGAAAAAGCTAGTGATTTTTTTTAGTGTGAGATTGTGGGAATATGAAAAACCTAGAGAGAAACAGTAGAGCAATATCTTGCAAGTTCTTGACTTAGAATTTTCTTTGAAGACATAAGGAGCCATTGAAAGTCTTTAAGTAGGGCAGTAACTTGCCCACTGTACTTCTAATAGAGAAGGGAAAGTACTGGAAGTAAGAATTGAGGAGCAACAGGGATTTCTACAAAATGAAAGGAAAGTAGAAATTTGTCTCTAGGTTGGCAGTTGACTAGTCAGGAGACCCATGAGTTACAGGGCTATGTTGAAATACGGATGAACGGAGGGGTATGTATCTTTGCTCTACCCCATTGGTGAAAGGATTCAGTCCTTCCTACCAGCTATGCCATATAAAAATTCAGAACTATATTGAAGCAGAATTTCTTGTATTATGGGCCTCATTTTGATCTGTAAATAACAAGTTTCTCCTTCCCCTTTTTACCCGTTCTTTGTTTCTGTTATTTAGTGGAGAGTGGGAGTATAAAGTTCCAGGAATGGGGTGAGAAGTTGATTAGGAAGTATTGTCAGGTGTAGCAAACAAGGTAAAAAGGTTGTGTTTATCTAGACTGTTTTATTGCCTATTAAGCAATTGTTCCCCTGAAAAAAAAAATTTTTTTTTAGAGGTTATAGTAGTTATTTGATAAAATTTTGAAAATTTGCTAACTTTGTAAAAATCTGTCTCTTAAGAGTTGGTATGACCTTAAATTATTTGCTACTTTGCTTTTAGTTTTGTTACTAGCCGCGTAAAGAATGCTTAATTCTCAATACATTTTAGTGTATTTTTCTAATTGTTTTGTAATTTTGCAATTGCTACATTGTATTTCAGATGATAGTGTGGATCCTTTCTGGCCAGCCTTACACTGTTTCATGGTGATCCTGGATCGCCTTGGTTCTAAGGTTTGGGGTCAACTTATTGATCCTATTGAGGCATTTCAAACCATTATCAACAACGTGAGCTATAATAGGGAGATCAAAAATATACGGAACAGCTCTATAAGGTTAGTTAATGTCAGGAATTCTGTTGCAGTTGACTCAACAAGGGTTTTTTTTTTTTTTCCCTGCTTCATTTCAGTAATATTTTTTTTGTTCATATTTAAGGACCAAGTTAGAACCGGAGTCATATTTGGATGATATGGTGACTTGCAGCCAGATTGTATACAATTATAATCCTGAAAAGGCCAAAAAGGTATAAAACGCTTTGAAAATTCAGATTCTGTTATATAGTGATTTACATAATTAGTTGCATGATGGTTTTATGATACATACCTGTTCTGCATTAGCTGCTACCAAAGGCCTGGTAATGGAGCCAGGTGAATTGTGCTTGGGAAGATGAACTTGTTACATTAGTGTGCATACTTTGGAATTAGAGAAGACAGAAGGTTTTGGGGATAGGGAAAAGGGGCATGACTAATAATCAGAGCCAGCTAATGAAAAGGGCACAGCATGGAAGGGGGTAGACTTGCACTAATGAAGCTTTAGTGTCAGTGTTCAACTTATATTTTCAATTTTTGTGGGGTTGTATATGTTGATATATAGTAAACAAAAATAGGAAAGTTTAGGGATACACACACACACATTTTATTTTACAATTTGGGGTTAAACCTATTACTGTACTTATTTATCTGAATGTATTTTTCTTGTTTTAGGATTCAGGGTGGAGATCAGCCATTTGTCCAGATTATTGTCCTAATATGTATGAAGAAATGGAAACATTAGCCAATGTACTTCAGTCAGACATTGGTCAAGACATGCGTGTCCATAACAGCACATTTCTGTGGTTCATACCTTTTGTTCAGTCCCTCATGGATCTTAAGGACTTGGGTGTGGCTTACATAGTAGAGGTTATTCATCATCTGTACTCTGAAGTTAAAGATGTCCTCAACCAAACAGATGCTGTATGTGACAAAGTCACTGAATTTTTTCTTCTAATTTTGGTGTCAGTAATTGAACTGCACAGAAATAAAAAGTGTTTGCATTTGCTGTGGGTTAGCTCCCAGCAGTGGGTGGAAGCTGTTGTAAAATGTGCCAAGCTCCCTACCACTGCATTTGCACGGAGTACAGAGAAATCATCTGGAAATTGCTCCAAAGGAACAGCAATGATATCATCACTGTCATTGCATTCAATGCCATCTAACTCTGTACAGCTTGCTTGTGTGCAGCTTATCAGGAGTCTGCTGAAAGAAGGGTACCAGCTTGGGCAACAGACTCTTTGTAAGCGGTTCTGGGATAAGCTTAACTTATTCCTTCGAGGAAATTTGTCTCTAGGTTGGCAGTTGACTAGTCAGGAGACCCATGAGTTACAAACGTGTTTAAAACAAATTATTAGAAACATAAAAGTCAAAGTACCTCAGTGTAGCACTTTTGTGGATCTGACTCCATGTAAGACCCCACCTACATCTTTTAAAGAAGAAAATGAACAGATAGAGAAGTCTAAGAAAGACATGCTTTGTCTTGAAAATTCCAGCCCAACATTTTCTAAAGAACCAATGAAAATTGACACACATCAAATGCAAGAGAGCATAATGATTAAAGCAAGTAGTACTGTGAAAGAAGACAGTAACGAGCAGAATTACATGAAGGACTTGAATGTGGAAGACCATCCCTCAGCTGAGTCACACTTACAGCAGTGTAGTAAAAGCCTGTTTGCTGAAAGAGCTCCAAACCAAGGTAAAGTGAGCAGAGGGGTACAGAAGTCTGTGAAGGAAAGCTCTCATACGCCCCAGAGCTGTCCTTCAAGAAATGGTCCAGACAAGGGCTGTGGCCGGGGAATCATCAAATCAACACGTTCACTGACTGATTCCTGCACTGATTGTCTGGCAAAAGTAACCACATCAAGTGAGGATTTCTCTTTAAAGGATGATGCTCTTGGTAAAACCTCAAAACCAAAATCTAAGGCACAGAAAGATGAAATCTGTGCAAAGTTATCACATGTTGTAAAGAAGCAACACAGGAAAAGTACTTCGATCAGTGATGCTATCAGTTTAGGGGAAAATCTGACTGCATCTAATATGGAGACTTTCTATTTAAGAAAAGATGCAGGAGTTCAGAAAGGGGATGGCTTCACACATGACCCATCTTTAAACCCTAATGGTATTCCAGATGGTGAAAATGGAGAACAAAAATCTCAAAACAGTTTATCACTGAAAAAGAAACACTTAAAGAGCGAAGAGTTGGATATGTTCTCTTACGGAAATAATTGCAAAGTACAGGATTGTTATGCTGATGATAAAGATTTGGTTTCATTTACAGAAATTACCAATACTTTGGTGAAGAAAACATCTCCCTTTAAAGATCCTGTGACTATACTGAAATCAAGAAATAAGGATATGAATAAGAGTGTGGGTCTGATTTCCTCTAACTTGGTAAGAGAGCAGGCCCCTGGCATCAGTCCTAAGTCTGATACCTTAACAGATTCTCAAGTGGATAGAGACCTCCACAAATTGTCTTTAATAGCTCAAGCCAGTGTTATTAAGTTTCCATCAGATTCAACTCTAAAAAGTACATCCCAGCTGCAGAGAAGAGTAAAGGATGATAAAAGGTGTTTCACAGCTAACCAAAATAATGTTGTGGATACCTGCCATGGACAAATTATTGTTATTTCAGATTCTGATGATGATGATGAGACAATTCTTGGGTTTGAAAAATGCATTGAACAGGGCAAAGTATCTATTGAGAAAGAATCTCTGGCACAGCATGATTCAATAATTACTACTACTGTGGAAAAGAAACTTATAAAGGAAGAAAAGACAAACTCCCTTTTGCACTTTGAGGAATCTGATTCTCAGTTTTTTGAGTTTGAAAGTCCATCTGAAGTGTTTTCAGTTTGGGAAGATCATAAAGTGGACAAGCATTCAGTTCAAGAGACTGAAAAAAGTTCCTGTGTGACTCATGTAGCCGACAGCACCAATAACTGGGGCTATGGTACAGAGTATGCATCTGAAGAGGCGGTGTGCAGGGTCGTGGAGAGTGTCGAGGAGCACCCAGAGCCTCACAGCAGCAGTGCTTCCATGGAGGATCTTCGTGAAATCCAAGTTAAAAAGCCTAAGAGGAAACGATTTGAAAAACCTGTGTCTGAAGATCCTCTCAGGCCTTCATCTTCTGTCCGAAATGAGGACCATTCTGATGTTCTTAATGAGAGAGAGCTTACTGAAAATGACTTAAAGAGTACAGACGTGAGGACTGTAACTCCCAGTTCAAGTGTTCAGAGGGCCACGGCGGTTTCAGTAAAAAAGTCTCCAAAGCTTCGGACTTACTCAAAACCCATTAGGAGAGTCCCAGTTTCTAAAACTAAGAAAACACATTCAGATGCCAAAAAAGGGCAGAATAAAAGTTCACATTACCTAAGTTGTAGGACGACTCCTGCTGTAGTTCCACCAAAGAAATTTCGCCAGTGTCCTGAACCAACTTCCACAGTTGAGAAGCTTGGTTTGAAGAAAGCTCCTCGGAAGGCCTTTGAGTTGTCCCAACGATCTTTAGAGTATTTAGTTCAGTTACGCGATCATGGCAAAACTGTCGGAGTAGTAGACACCCAAAAAAAGACCAAGTTAATTTCTCCTCAGACTCTTTCTGTTAAAAATAATAAGAAACTGCTGACAAGTCAGGATCTTCATTCACCAAGGCAGGCACGACCTAAGTCACAGCAAAACAGACGAGAACTTTTTGGTTACGGAAGTGCGGATGCTCCAAGGGCAGGGACACGTAGAACACATAATTCTGACATACTTGTACCTGAGTCTGAGAGGTCAGATTATAAAAGCAGTGATGCACTTGCCAGCGGTGATGAAAAGCAGTTAATAAAAGACTTTCCTTCAGAACCAGAGACCAAAACAGCAAAGTACACATCTCAGGTAACTGAGGGTGCTTGTGTTTTGAACCAGTGTGATTCTGGAGGGTTGAATGGAAGACTGCCAGCCAACGAAGGAGTGATCTCTACTTTAGAAACCCCTTTAGCTGGAGGTGATCTTGCAGCACACCGTGTCGAGATGGCAGCTCTGAAAGAAGTGGATCCTGAGTCCAACAGCGATGCAGAGGATGACAACTTATTTTTAACACAGCATGATCCTGAAGATATGGATTTATGTTCACAAATGGAGTATGGTAATGATAAGCTCATTGAATTGGTTCATGGAAAAGATACAGTTCAGGTAGAAGAAAATTCTGTGAGTCGGCCTCATTTGGAATCTTTGAGTGTCACAAAGTGTAAGTTCAAAGATGGTATCGAAACCACGAAAAGCCAGGGTGAATGCTGCTCAGGACCCTCTGAAATCAAAGCAGATGAAGATGTGTTTCGGAAGCCTGGCTTGCCTCTTTCTGCAGCCAAACCTTTAAGACCTTCTACCACCAAGGTTTTTAGTTCAAAGAGTACTTCACGCATTGCCAATCTTTCCAAGTCTTTGGAAAATACTTCACTTCCATCAGCTCTAAAAAATAAATCAAATGGAGTACAGTCTATTTTGAAAGTACCACAGCCTGCTTCCCTGGTACCTCAGAAGCCAGCAGGTGATGGGAATAATTTGTGCAATGTGCTTCATTCTCAGGCTCCAAATAATTCCAGCAAGCAAGGCTACAAGCTTCCATTTGGTGAAAGCAAATCTTTTTCAGTTTCTTCTCCAGTAAATATTCTCTTGTCATCACAGTCTATCTCCGACACCTTTGTTAAAGAGGTCTTAAAATGGAAATATGAAATGTTTTTGAACTTTGATCAGTGTGGGCCCCCAGCAAGTCTTTGTCAGTCCATCTCAAGACCTGTGCCTGTCCGATTTCAAGATTGTGGAGAGTATTTTAATGTTTTTTTACCTTTGATGATATTGAATACTTTTGAAACAGTAAGTATGCTTTTGTCATTTGCCTCTCCTTTTCAAGTTGCTTTACTGCTGAGTCATAATTAGAGGACAGTCTAGGGACCTGTTTGATTCCATGTTGTTGTTAGATTTCATGTTGAACAGATGTTTGTAGGAGCCACAGTTCCAGATGCTGATGGTACTGTTAACCTTTGACCCCTGCAGTTACAGACCCAGTTCTTGCACTGATGGGCGAGTCTGGGGGTAGCCTAGGGGAGAGCTGACACATGCAGAGTTTGTGCAGGATATAAGGGGAAGTGCCAGTGCACAAGGAGAGAGTCTTCCGGCTGCATTTGTTTTTATTTTTGGCTTTGTTTTTTTGGGGAGGTGGGTAGGAACCAGGGCACTCGCCCATGAGCCACATCCCCAGACCTGTTTTGTATTGTATTTTATCTAGAGACAGGGTCTCACTGAGTTGCTTAGCGCCTTGCCATTGCTGAGGCTGGCTTTGAATTTGCTCCTGTCTTAGCCTCCTAACTGTCTGGGATCACAGGCATGCACCACCGCACCCAGCTATGGCAGTCTTACTTACGACTCCTCAGCCCCAGCATCCTGTTGTGGTTCTTCTTTTCTTCCTCAGCTTCTTGACTAGGGTTGCCAAGTAAAATACAAGGTTCCCGGTTAAATTTGAACCTCAGAGCCAGGTATGGGTGGTACAGACCTAGATAGAGTTGGAGGCCAGCCTGGTCAAAATAGTTAGATCCTGTCTTTAAAAAAAAAACTGAACCTCAGAACTACATTTTGAGGGGTGTGTGTGTGTGTGTGTGTGTGTGTGTGTGTGATTTTCAAGGAGAAAAAGGAGTTGGGAGTAAATTTTTTTATTTTTCATGTTTCTTTGGAAAAAACAAGACCTGGGTGTTCATTAAGTTTCTTAAAAGTACATACAAGAATTTTGAGGTAATGTTCATGAATTTATTCACTTACTTGATATTTAGGTGCCCATTATGTGCCACACGCATTTATAGGCCAGGGAGGGAAAGTGGTCTCTGCCTTCTACAAGATACTATTTCATGTTGGGATAAGCATTCCAGTGTGACCTAGAACAAAGAAAGCAGTGTGCTTTAGATAGCAGGTTAGAAAGCCTCTGTGAGCAGATGGTGTTTACACAGAGACCAAAGGATCAGAAGGAGCCAGCTGCAGGAGTGTCCTCCAGACAGGAGTGCAGGTGCCGGTAGCAAGTGGGTTGGTGTGTTGGAGGAAAGGACCTGTGTTGAACAAGGGCCGGTGCTGTAAGAGGGTGTTCAGGGCATTGTTAATACTTGGCAAGATAAATGGCTTTTGTAAAGCTTGAAAATGAACTTCAGCTTCAACCTTTAAAATGAACTTTATGTCAAATCTTTTGAGTAAAGTAATGCCCCAAATCTTAGCCATTTTTATAGGGTTCTGTTCTTATTTCATGTATGTGGTACTTTCAATTAGCTAAAGAATATTAAAATTAGAAGTTTTTCTTAATTTGTATACTTGTTTCCCTAGTTTTTTCCTGTTCATTTTAGTGTTTGTAGTTCTTTTCTTAATTCCTTCTTTCAATTGGCTGATTTCTGGTGGTCTACTGATGTTTAAGAGCAGGAAACCATAAAGTAGATTGGGGCATGATTCATAGTAGCCAAAATATGAAAACAATTTACATGTCCATCAGCTGACAAATGGATAAACAAAATATGGTTTGTTCATTCAATGAAATATTATTCAGCCATTAAAAGGAAAGGTGTTCTGATTCATATTCATTGATGAACTTTGAAAACATTGTGCTGCTGAAAGAAGTCAGGTGCAGAAGGTCAGGTTTTATGATTCTGTCCATGTGTTGCCCAGAAAAGGCAGGTTCATAGGGACAAAAAGCAGATGAGTAGTTGTCAGGGAGTGGGTGGGTGAAGGGATTGAGACTATAATAGGTATAGGATATTTGGGAGAATGATGGAAATTATTAGACCAACAATTTTTATGGTGTCAAGATAACCTTGTTTAGTGTGTGTGTGTGTGTGTATATATATATATATATATTTTTTTTTTTTAGTTGTCATTGGATTTTACTTATTTACTTATATGCGGTGCTGAGAATCGAACCCAGTGCCTCATGCATGTGAGGCAAGTGCTCTACCACTGAGCCACAACCCAGCCCAGCATTGTTTAGTTTTGATTTTTAGTTTTTCTAATAAGTCAAGGCTGTGGCATCAACCCCAGTCCTGGACCAGGGGTCATCACCCTTATTCTGGTATACTTGTTATAACTTTACTTGCACCTTATTAATGGAATACTGTAGTGAGTATAGACTTAATTAATTAACTAGGGATTGAATGCAGAGAATAATGTATACTAGGTGAGTGCTCTGCCGCTAAGCTACATCCCTGGCCCAAGTACTGACTCTTTTTTACAAAACATTGGTATCCTATTTAGAATCTAAAGTGTAGTGTTTGATTATCCAGTTATATGCCCTAGTACAGGTGGAATATAATGATATTAATGTAGAATTATCCCTCAACACAAAGGTCAGGAGCAAATTCAGTTTTTAGAGATGTGAATCTTTTCTATACTGATATGGTTAAAAGAAGTATTTGTTTTAATTATTGCACTTAAAATATAAAAGTATTAATTAGATAAATGTACACTATGTGAGCGGGGATTAGTTTTATTTCTTTTTTAAATTTTTTTGTAGCCAATTGTGCAAATGCTCTTTTACATTAAAAGTTAGGTTGCTGACTGTCTGCGGTTCTTTACTGTCACCTCTGTGTGAATATAGTGTGGTTGTGGCCAGTCGGGTAGAGGGAGCAGGCAGGAAGGGAATGTTCTGGTGCATCAGCTTTGCTTTTCAGTGGTTTAATCAGAGAGATGGCTCTGGCTCTTCAGCCAGTCAGATTGTAATTTGTTTTGAGAAGAAAATGAAACAACATATGATGAGTGACATTGAGAGGCTGCTCTTGAAAACTGGCTGAGAACCAGAAGAGGTAGGAGAGGGTTGGGATGTCAAGAAAACAGCACTTTGAGATAGGATCTGAGGTATGTATGAAGAGGGAGATTAAGTATGAAGCCTTACAGGGGATTTCATTTTGAGTTCTTTAGGAAGGTGTTGGAAGATTTTTCACTGGTGGGTGTTTGGACTGGAGAGTAGAAATAGACACCAGTTTACATATTGTTGCATGTCACTCTTGTTGCTGGGTGGAGAATAATGTGTAGAAAGGCAGGTAGAAGTATAGCAACCCAGAGATATATGCTGGTGGTTTGATTTGGGTGGTAGCTGTGGGAAGGTAGAGGAAATAAGGTATTGGGGATAGACTTTGGAGAGATACTGTCATGACTTGCTGATGGAGTGGATGTGGGAGTTGAAAAGAGGATGATTAAAAAAATTAAGACTGAAACTTTCCCAGAAACTCATTAATAATGCCAAAGGAATCTGAACCACGTGTACACACAGATAGTTGTATATGTTTATGAATGTGTTAAAGAGACAAGTTCCAATAATAATAATATCTGCCATAGGTGCACATAAAAAGAACCAGAAAGATTTAAGATGAAAGTATGGAAAAAGATACAAAAGACAAACATGAACCAAAGAAAGCCCGAATTGCTTTGCAGTCCAAGCCAATTTTAACATGGACACACTGGAAGGGACAAAGAAAGTAGATACCAAGGAGGGATCAGAAACCCAGGAGCTCACCTCAGTGGTAAACAAGTGTGTCTCAAGGTGTACAGGCAGCATTTGACAGGATAGTTGCAGGTCTGAACAGCGCTCCACCTGGTGTTCAATAATACAGTTCACTAAGATGAAGAAAAACAGCAGTGAATAATTGGAAGACACACTTCTGATCGTTTCTAGATGGTCTACATAGAAATCCCAATAAAATCAATAGTTGAGCACAAGATTGATGTATAAAAAGGTTAGTGTCCCTTTATGGCTCCAATAAGCAGTTAGAAAATATGGAAGAAAACATCATACACAATAGTAACCGAAGCTGCAGACCTGTTAGGAATTATCCTAATAGTAAATACACAAGCCATTTATGGAGAACACTTTAAGACTCTTGATTTTGAAAATCATAATGGAAGATAGTTCATCCTTTATTTAGCTGTATTCATGAATGAGATGTTTTCCCATTATAGAGAGATGACTTCTTTCTGAATTAATAAAAAGTTTGGTCAAGTCGAGATCAAGACTTTGATCAAAACTAAAATAAGAAAATTTGTTCAAGTTAAAATCCAAAACCAGGCATGGTGGCGCACGCCTGTAATCCCTGTGGCACGGGAGGCTGAGTCACAAAGATCACAAGTTCAAAGCCAACCTCAGCAACTTAGCAAGATCCTAAGCAACTGAGTGAGACCCTGTCTCAAAATAAAACATAAAAAAGGCTGGGGATGTGCCTCAGTGGTTAAGCAACCCTGGGTTCAATTCCAGATACCAAGAAAAAAAAAATCCAAATTAAAACCAAAAAATTAGTTCAAGTAAAATTCAAGCAAAAGGGCTGGGCTTGTGGCTCAGTGGTAGAGCTCTTGCCTGGCATGTGTGAGGTACTGGATTCAGTTCTCACCACCACTTATAAATAAGTGAATTAAAATAAAGGTCCATCAACAACTAAAAATATTTTTTAAAAATTCAAGCAAAAATGTTTTGAGTTAAACTTACTTTAAATATTTTAAATTAAAATGTTTACTTAAATGTTTTAAGGGAGAGTGAAATCTACTAATATAATTACTTCAGTTTGTTATTGCCATGTATCTCAAGTTAAGCCGCCTGCCCCAGCACAAATCCTTTTTCACTTTCCCCTGAACAAAATGTAAACCAATGCCAGAAAGCAGAAAGAGAAAGGTGTTGGATACCTTTCTTACTGTAAGGCGTAAGGCTTTTTTTTTTTTTTTTTTTTTTTAACTTTGTGTCTGTGAAAGTACGGAGGAGTTTTATAGAAAGAAAAAAGTGAAATAAAGTCAGATGAGAAAGCAAAAAGGAAAGAGAAGCATAATAGGTGGTGGGGGGGGGGGTGAACTTGCCTCATCTAATG